CCCCCCCCCCCCTTATTTTGAGCATTGGCTTATTTGGGTAAGCTAGTCCAGACTAATTTTATACTTCCTGCCCAGCTCTGGAATCAGTCATTTTCTCAGTTTTTTTTTAGTGGGGAATGGTATTAGAGACCCAAATCTGAATACTAATATCTTGAGCTTTAATGTTTTGCTTTTCTTTCTTTTTTCTTTTTGTTTTTTTAAATGATGATCAAAGTACAAACCATTCAGTGCTTCCTAAAAATAAAAAGTCATGAGAATTTACTTTTTTGGAAGTGAAATAATCTGTATATAAATGCAAGTTAAAGCAAGGAAGATGTTTTTCTGTTTAGCCTTCTCCTCTTCATATTTTCTTTAGAATCCCATATCATATATTTTTGTTTGTTTGTTTGTTTGTTTTTGAGTTGGAGTCTCACTCACTCTGTCACCCGGGCTGGAGGGCAGTGGCACACTCCCGGCCACTGCATCTTCGACCTGCTGGACTCAGGCGATCCTTCTACCTCAGCCTTCCAAGTAGCTGGAGATACAGGCACATGCCACAATGTCCAGCTAATTTTTTGATTTATTGTAGAGATGAGATCTCGCCAAGTTGCCCTGGCTGATCTCGAACCTGTGGGGTTAGGCAATCCTCTCACTTTAGCCTCCCAAAGTGCTGGGATTATAGGCGTGAACCACCACGCCTGTCTCCTCACATCATATTTTAATGTAACTACATTAATTGCTATGATAGTTTCAAAATTAGATTATATCCCTAGGATTTAGTACCTCATTTCTAATCTAGTATTTTCAGTTTATAGCAGAGTTGTACACAAATTTTTTCTGGAACTTGGCTTATTCTTTTTATCTGACTGATTTTCTCACTTTTGGGCTACTTATTTATAGTAATCCTTTGGGATATTTAATGCAGAGTTACTCTTTGTCATTTTGTTTCTAAAGTTTCATAGATATGTGTACATGCATTCTGCATTCCCATTCAAAACTTATTTATTGAACATACACACACACCAGCTCCTGTGCTAGGGCTTCATGATGCACGTGGCTCTTACCTTGTAGAGGAATTTGATTGGCCTGAGTGGAGTGATACCTACCTCTCTTTCACCTAGTTGTAGCCTCATCACATGCATGAGGCAAAGGACCCAGGAGTGCCTTACTCAACACACTGTCTGACATATAGTAGGTACTTAAGATTTGGTGATTGATAGAAATGACAAAATGTAATAAATTTCAGCATTACCATGGAGTCACACTAGAGCACAGACATTATAGTTATTGCTTACAACAATAATATCAAAGCATAGTGAACCTAGTGTCTATGGTGACTTACATATATCTGGGTTATTTATTGATTTCCTGTGATGTTCTAAGATGAGATATCAAATGAGCTAATCTTGCTTTCAAATTATTAATTTAAATTGTTTCAGTGACTTTTACTTAATTTAGTGCTACTGTTTCACTGTAAAATATTTAATTTGTTGTTCCTCAAGTATCTTATTATAAAATGATATAGCAGACTCATGCCATATTTCTTTGGTATAACATATTCAGAATAACATGTGAGAATTGAAACGTGAGAGCACAAAAATGCAGTGTGGCACAGTGAGTAAGATTTCTTTTATAAAATCAGACTTCTGGTTTCCTAATATTTTTCTTTTTAATTTCTCAGTAGTTGGTGGTAATCAGAACATGTGAATATTCCTGTTGGTGGGCCATGGAACACAGAACTGTTGTAGCTTTTGCACTTTAAGTTATGAAGCTGTTGGACATGTCTTTATTTTAAAATAATTAGGAACATCGCCCCCTTCTGTGTTCTTTTTTCTGGGCTCATTTCTGTTTAGTGTTCAAATACAACAGTGGTTATAAAGAATGAGATGTTTTTGAGACTCTATCTTTAGAGTTGATCATGTGGAAAACTCTTACCCAATTTTAAAGTTAAAAAAAGCAATGATAAAGCATAAGTTAGTTACATTTCTTTCCTATTAGTACTATTTTCAGTTTTTAACAGTCTTATTAAATCTAATTAACATCAGATATATGTACCTGTGAAACAAAACTAAAAGGGTTTTGCCTTAGGGCAGTGGCTCCTAATTTCTGCTGCACACTGAAATTACCTCAGGATCTTAAAAAAACACTGATGCCTCGACTCCCACCCACAGATATTCTGACTTAATTACTGTGTATACAACCTGTGCATAAGCATTTTAAAAGCTCCTCAAGTAATTTTAATACATAGCAAAAGTTGGGACCCACTGAATTGGAGGAAACTGTTCCACACTCCTGAAGAGCATGAGGGATGATCATAAATTATTAATAGACATGTTATTGAATGTAGGAAAGTGTGATGGTGTTTGGCAATTCTAATTTTAGCAACACTGTATTTGGTTAGTCGTGTATTATGTGCCATGGTAAACAAAAGTGCAGGCCACTTTGTGTCCTTATGGTAGTGACTTGACTTGTTTGGAACAAAAAAATCAGTGTTGAGTTTGTGCAATAAATATGAACGTTCCTAGTTAGATGCCTGGAAAGTTAAAAGTAGCTTCTGTTTTAAATACTAGAATGTATTGAGTAATAATAGCACAGGCTTTGGAAATAAGTAACCCTTACCACAGACCATAATAGTAGCAGTGTAATTTTATTGTGAGATTAGTTAACTCTCTTATACTAATTTCCAGAAGAGGAAACTGAGACAGGCAGTAGCATCCACACTCATAAGGTTATTGTAAGGATCCAAATACAAAATAGTCTCTTTCCCCATAAATATGTGCTTTGTAAATGTTAACTAGGACAATACGCACGTGGAGTAATGTTAAGGTTATGAGTATATTTATTATAAAAGAATGTGATTGTGGGAAATGACTTTTACCCTTAGGCCCAATCAAAGTGCCAACTAGAACAGATTGAGTTTGTATGAAACAGATCATTAAATCCAATAATAGCAGCTGAAGAGTTGCACTGAAAAAACAAACTATCAAAGACACAGAAAATTTCTGTAATGATTGCTTTAAATTTTAAAAAAAGGAACAAAAAAGCCATGATTTGATCTTTCAGAGAAATGTGAAAGTTTTAGTAAATGACAATTAAGGGTTATAAATCTTTTATAATCAGAAATTAAATACCAAAAGCTACAGCAGACACATTTAAAATATTCTCAAACCCAAGAGTGTATGAGAGAAATGACAAGATAATAAGTTATTTACTTATTTTTTACATCAGTTGAGTTAACTGAAGTATACTGAATTAACTCACAGGGTTGAACAATAAACCTGACTCACTTTAATGACATTCTAAAATGTGTGGACAGTCCTGGAAAGCCAGAGTAGTAACCTAATTATTGTCATCTTTACCAGATAAAGTCGGCCTAATTGCTAACTTTTCAAGAATGCTCACAATATATGAATAAGAGTTTCATCCAAAATACTAGCCCAATTTTTTTTTTCTTTTTCTAAAACTTCAGTCTACTAAAATCAGTGCTGGTTTGTCACAGTTATAACAATATGCAGTAGACTTTTGGATGTTTATTATTTTATGTAAATATTAGTTCATTGTACATGTGTGATATTGTATATAACTAAATGATTTTATACAAATGAACTTATATCTTTACTGTTATATGTAGTTTAAAAACTGTCAGTCATTGTTTTACCATTTGTTGAAAACTTTGTTTAAAAATACTTTTGCATTATATGGAAAAATAAATGTTTTTTAATTTGTAAAATTTATTTTAATATTTTTGTAGGATTTTTTGGAAGTAACCTACCAGATTATCAGCGGTCAGAAATCATGATGTTCATTATGGGGAAAGTACCTGTTTTTGGAACATCCACCCATACTTTGGATATAAGTCAATTAAGGTATGACTGTAAATTTGAATTTAATCTTGGGTTAAATGTTACGGTAAAAAAATCTAGAAAATGTTAGTTTTTAAAAAAACATTAGTAGTAAAAGTCCTATAAAAAGCAGTACATTTATGACACCAGACTGCTAATCAATTGAATCAACATTTGTGTGCCTTTAGAATCATTTTTCAGCTTAGCATAAACTCTTAAATTTTCTATGTCTTAGATTAGGTGGAAAGTTTGTTTAGCCTGAACATTGTATATATTCATACACATTTAGAGTAAAGCTTCAGGTGTCCTGTACAGATTTTAGAAATTAATGTCACTGTATCAGGAATGTTTGTTTATTCCTAGAATTCTAGAACTGATAGTGATTGTAAAGATCATGTGTTTTTGCCCCTTATTTTATAAGTCTCATTTGATTGTTTAACATGCTAAAGCTTTAGTTTGTGAATGTTTTTGTTTTACTGAGTTAAGGAAATAATAGTCTTATTTGATTTATGTTTCTTTGACTATTAATTAAATAACTGTTTTTCCATTTGTTATCTCTTTTTAAATTGTTCTTACCTGTTTATTCATATATGTTAAAGAGATATTATATCCGTCAACTATGTTTGTAGTAAATATTTTCCGCAATTTATAGTGTCTTTTAATTTGAGTTGTGTATTTTTTATGATTTGATTTTCATGGCATCATATGCATAGGACTATTTCCTTTGAGAGCCAATAGCATGAATTTTTTTGTTTGAATTTGATATTTTTTAACATATAACTGTTTTAATTCATACAAAATTCACTTTGGTGTGTAAGGTGAGCCATGACAAACTATTATAAAAATAAAATCTAATTTATCCAGTTGAAATCAGTAAATAGCAATTTAAGTAAGAGGTATTATACATGTTAATTAGTATAATAATGTCAACTTTTTATATATTTTAGGGAATTGGGAACCAGGCGGATTCAGATAATGTTGCTGAGATCTTTACTTATGGTAAGGCAATCAAGACAGGTGAAGGACACAACCTTAAATTATTGACACGTTTAAAGGAATCACTTTGTGTTATAAACTTTTTTTTTTTAAAGTAAGATACTTTTTGTGGTTACTATTTTATTATACTCTTAATTTTTTAAAAATTCTATTTTTTTAATACTATTTCTTCTCCTTTTTGCTTGATCTTCATAATGAAGAAACATACATAGGGCAGAAACTATTGCTGTTTGATAGATAAAGATACCTGGGCTCAGAGACTGAGTGGCAGGAGTTGAGGAGGTGCAGCAAGAGCTAATGAATAGAACCCAAACTTGAAATTCAAAGTTCTGTTTGTTTTTTTTTTTTAATAAAGATATTGTGCACAATTCAGTGTTAGGTATACAAATATTGATTATGTAGGTACCCTTGTTGATGAAGTATGCCCCTCCCTCCTCTAGCAGTTTCCCTCAACTGCCAATCCTACCCCCTCCCTTGACAATTGCTTTCTTATAGTCTTATAGTACTATAATTGTTCAAGGTCCACTTATGTGTGAGAACATATGGTACTCTGTTCTTTGTTTCTGTGATAGATCACTGAGTATGATCAACTCTATATCCATCCAAGTTGCTGCAAAGTTCCTATGTTTTTCCTTCATGGCTGCATAATATTCCATTGTGTATATCTACCACATTTTTTTTTTATCCAGTCCAACTTTGATGGGCAACGTGGTTGGTTCCATGTTTTTGCTATTGTGAATAGAGCTGCAGCGAACATACGTGTGCAGGTATCTTTTTTGTAGAATGATTTGAGTTCCTCCAGGTATATTCCCAATAGGGTTATTGCTGGGTCATATGGGAGGTCAATTTCTAATTCCTTCAGAAACCGCCACACTGTCTTCCAAAGAGGTGGCACTAGTTTGCATTCCCACCAGCAGTGTAGAAGGGTTCCTTTTTCTCCACATCCTCACCAGCTTCTGTTGTTGTTTGTTTTATTAAGGATGGTGAAATCCAAAGTTCTTTCAACATATTTCCCTATTTATGTCATTTACTGACCAAATAATGGCTGCTTATTGGGAAGATTATTAACTACAATGAAAATTTGTCATTTTAAATTTGAAGTGGCTATAAATAGCTGAAAAGGAAAAGCGTACCCAGAATGAGAAGTTCTCTGATTATTTTATAGTAATTATATTCATCTTTGAACTATTTCTAGCATATCTGTGTCCTTTTCAAATCAGTATCTTTTAGATTTATGTTGGAAATCTTTATTATACATAATCCCATTTTTAAAGAAAATATCTCATACCTAAGGATAAGTGCAGAAATATCTTATTTGGTTTTATTTTAAATTCTGTTTATGGTGTTTGTCATACCAGAAGTTTTAAAGTCTGGTTTAACCAGATTTATCATTTCTTTTCTACATGTTTTGTAGTTTGACATTTGTATACTGTTTAAAAACTTTTCCTACTCATGGTATAGACATATTTGCATTTTCTCACAGTAGTTTTTAACATTTGGCTTTCTACATTTACACGTTAATCTGAATTTTATTTTTGTATGTGATTTGAGGCATGAATAAATTTTTAATTTTCCATTTTAACAGGTAGACAGTTGTCCTCCCGATTTCCCATCTGGCATATAAAATCACCTTCATCTTATAAGTGCCCAAGTATAACGTTAAATATTTCATATATGTTCATAATCCTGAAAATATGTTGAAATTTCCCATCTGAAATTTAATTTGGTCCTAAGCCTTCATCTATGTTAAATGAATTCCCTAAATAAATTATCTCCCCTCACATCATGACTATACTACCTGGTCAACTGAATAAGTATCTGTGTGGTATGCTTAAAATGTTTAATATCATTTAAGTATATTCTCTTTAAAAGCTTTTATATTTAGAGTTTACTGATGCACTCGTAAATGTCAAATCAAGTTACTAAAAAAGTCCAGCTTTCCAAAATGAAAATTCATTCCTGTTAACCATTTAAAATTAAAGAATAATTTGCAAATTTAACTTTAAAATTTGCATGTCTCACTTTTACTATTTGCCACTTAATCTTTCTATATCTGTTTTGTACTGACTCTTCTTATGATCTCTGAGCCTCAGGTTTTCCTTCTAAGTTGGTGATATAGTTTCTAACTAGTGCCTATCTCACAAGGATATATGGTGAGGACCAAGTTAATACCTATATGGTGGTTGGTATCTTGCCCAGCATGTGGTAAATGTGTACTGTTCTCCTTGTTAGTGATGTTTTTATAAATTTAGTAAAATCCTTCATTATCTTACCCATTTCCGTTGTGTCTTTTCTTCAGGCTCCATCCATAGTTTCTGTCTCCCTAAGTTTCTGGCCCTTATAAAACAGTGTGAGAATTTTACTAAAGATGGACTCATGACAAAGACTGGTTGTTTTCCTCCTGATCACCAGGTAACCTCAGGATACAAAGCAAAGACAATTGTTACTGCACTGCCAGGCTCTTTTCTGGATCCCTTGTTATCGCCATCGCTCATGGAAGACTATGAGCTGAGACAGTTAGTCCTGGAAGTAATGCATAATCTGATGGATCGCCACGACAACAGAGCAAAGCTTCGAGGGATCAGGTGATAAGCTCTTTTGAAATGGGCTTAATGATCATGTTTTTACTAATTTTAGTGTATTTCAGCATTACAGTTTTTTTAGTCTAACATTTCCAGATTTGATTAATTCAGACTTTTATTTAATTGGTATAAATTAGCAATTTAATTCTTAATATATTTTAAGATAGTAGATGTTTGGAGGTCATTTAATGTACTCTTCAGAGATCTTATCTACTAGTAATCAGTAGTTACATGGATTTATTTAGTTTTGCTTTAAATTTCAGAATGGCATTAGAAGTCAAGATTACGTTATGCAATTTCCCTTAATTAAATTTTGTAATTCAGTAGTGTCATTGCATATAAGCTTATTTAAAATGCTCATTGAAATGACTGTTAAATAGTTTAAACTCCTAAGTATAAGTATAATTTTCCACATAAGACATATTATAACTAAATGTGCTATTCATTAAAAATGATATTTTGATTGTTTCTAGAATAATTCCAGATGTGGCTGATCTAAAGATAAAAAGAGAAAAAATCTGTAGGCAAGATACAAGTTTCATGAAAAAGGTAAGATTATCTTCCAAAAAAATAAATGCGTTATGTAAGTTATAGCCACTTGATTTCTTGGGTGGTTTTATATTGATCTGTGACCTTGAAATAAGGCCATAAAATTTTGGAGTTGAAAGACCTCAACTGCCATTCTCAGCCTTCCCCAAGTCACCATAACTTTCCTGATGTTATCTCCTCCTGCCTGTGTCTAAACATTGTATTGTTGGGCTCATGTAATAGTTCTCAATTTCTTCTTCTGCGTAAAATGTTTTCCTATAATTCTTGCCCTGTACTCCTCCTTTGCTAAAACACGCAGGCTGATACCACTTTCAGTGACTCTTATAGGCAGCTTCAAGTTTTTGAAAATAGCTATCACCATTGAATAAATAACTATAGTGAGAGTTTACTGTGTATTAGGCATTGTTCTCTCCACAACTTGGGATATAAAGATAAGTTAGCCAGTATCTCTGCCCTTAATAAGTGATCCTCACTATATTATAATGATCATTTAAATTCTGGAGGTATATTGGAAAATGGCCAAATTTAGAAGATTAAGATGCCTGTGGCTATTTAGCATATTGTGTAAACAAGGACCTAATATTTGACAGACACTGAGCTCAACATTGAAGATGTGGTAACTATGACACACATGCCACCAGCCCTTACAAGGCACACAGTTCTGGGGCGGGCAGTGGGCCAATAGGGAGATGTCAGAGGGTACAAAGTTTCAGATAGGAGGAATAGGCTTTGAGATCTACTGCATAGCAGGTGACTACAGTCAATAATATATTGTATATTTCAAAATAGCTAAGAGTAAATTTCAAATGTCTCACCATAAAAAGGTAAGCAAGGTAATAGATGCACTATTTAAACATTCCACACTGTATACACACATCAAAACATCAGTGAATCCTTTAAATGTATATAATTATGATTTGTCAGTTAAAAATAAGATTAATTTTTAAAATGTTAAATGTGGAACAACTTTCATTTACTGGATGATATACAAGAAATACAAAAACTAAAAAAGAATGTCTCTCCCCTATTTATTAACCATTTTTTAGATATATAGTATAGTCCAACTTAAAAGAATTATTTTATTCATGGACAGAGCAGAATGCACACTTACTATAGACAGGCTGGCTTCAGAAGAGTCTGCGCTGCTGTTGCCCGTTTCCCTCTAAAATGATCAATCAGAAGAACCTACTAGAACCAGGATTGGTGTATTAAGTTAAAGTGTCCCCCCCCACACACACTGGAATGAGTAAGCCCTGTTGTTCTTATCCCTGGTTGCATGTTACTATTACCTTGGGAGCTTTATATTTAAAAAGCCCTGATGCTTGGACTTTACCACTGACTCGTTACATCATATTGGGGGAGGGTGGACAGTGGAGAGGGAAGGATGGTCGTCATTGCAGTTACCCAGTGATTTTCACTTTCAGAGTTGAGAACTAATGCACCAAGATGAATTAATGACTCCATTGTGCCTGGAAATGGGAACCACCCTCTTTTTGCTATGTTTTATATTCTGTAATAAACAGTACTTTTTCCTCCATAATTCTCTGATTTGATAAAACTTTAACAAACTCTCACTTGGCTATTGTATCTATATCCAGGAATGCCTAGATGGGGAAGACTTTAATATCCTTTATTAACATACTTAGATTAGACTAGGTTAGGGGGAAACCTCGGTGCTTCCCTGCGGAGTTCTGTAACCTCTTCCCTATAACTTGGCTTTTGACTCCCCTTTAGAGACTTCATGCCAAAATATAAAAGGACTTGCAAATGCTTCTCTCTGGACAGCTAACCAATGGTACAGGAATTGTTCCCAAGTCAAGAAAACCTGAGTACATTTCCTCTTAGCAAAATATTCTTTATTGCCGAGGCTGTATTTCAAAAGTATCTCCCAGAATTCTACCATCCATTTCACTTTTTTCTCAAATCAATCTATAATTTGCTTTTAGTTTTTTCAGATTATTATTAAATTTTTTTCATTTTTTACACAGGAACTATTTCTTTCTTGCTGTTTTTATTTAAGGTTTATAGTTAGTTTATAGTTTTATATTAGCCTACAGTTAGTTTATAGTTGTATATTAGCCTGTTGGTTGATGATTGGACTTTGACCATCTGATCATCAGCTTAAATTTTGTTTCCATGCTAAGTTATATAGTAAGATAGCTACTTTGTAGAAGGTTATATGCATATGAAATCTGCCTTTTCTGCATTTTAAGCAAAACTATCTTTTCCTCTGTCATTTGTCTTCAGAATGGGCAGCAGCTATATCGGCACATATATTTGGGCTGTAAAGAGGATGACAATGTTCAGAAAAACTATGAGCTACTTTATACTTCTCTTGCTCTTATAACTATTGAACTGGCCAATGAAGAAGTGGTTATTGATCTCATTCGATTAGCCATTGCTTTACAGGTATGCTTTTATAACCATTCACTGAAGGAAACTTTTTAATGAAGCAGACACTATTTTTAAAGTGTTGTTGCCTTTATCCAAGGACATGAATTTTAAAAAGGAGATGTCTAGTTGTGAATCTGATATACTCAAGACTGTGACCACATTCATTTATTATTTTTACAAATGTTGAATGAGCATTGACTGTGTGCTGAATATCTTTCAAGGTCATAGGGATACTGTGTTGAAAAAGACAAACACAGTCTCTGCACCTATACTTCTAGTCTAGAGGGGACAATAGTCATTAAATGATAATACATAATATAGTTGTTTAATTGGAGTTGTGTGATATAATAGAAGAACGCAATGGTTAGAACAGGAAAAGCTTTCCCATGGAAGAGACATGTAAGTTGAAAAATTTAGCTCTCTTATACAAGGGCGTTTATTCTCCTGTTTTAGAATTCTTTTACCAAATAACTTCTGATAAGGTGACATTTTTAGGTTAGCATTTCAAACTACCTGTAGCTTTTCAGTATAATCATAGAGAAAATGCTGATGGAGCCTAAGAACTTCATCTTTTGGTTGTGTTTGTTTCTTACTAAAGGACAGTGCGATTATCAATGAGGATAATTTGTCAATGTTCCATCGCTGTGGAATCATGGCACTGGTTGCAGCATATCTCAACTTTGTAAGTCAGATGATAGCTGTCCCTGCGTTTTGCCAGCATGTTAGCAAGGTAATGTATTTAGAAAAGTTCTTAAACTTGAATTTTGTACAAAGATATGCAGCCACTAAATTGAAACTGCAGCTAAAGCTATAGCTAGTGTTTTTGTGTTATATTTTCTATATGCTTAATTGTTTTATTATAATTTTGTAATGTACTAGCTGGATAGAATATTTTTTTCCTAGAACATCTCATGCGATTCTATAATTTTTTTTCCTTTGAACCATTGGGAATCTTAGTATCTAAATTTTCTTAAATTATACAGGTTTTGTTGTTGATTTACATTACTTGAGGCAGATCTCAAAAGTAGAATAATTAATGAATTAATATAATTCTCAGACAATTGTTCTGTGTCTTTCAATTTAGCTTTCTTCTGCAATAACTCTTAAATGGTTAATTGTATGATTTAATAAACATTTTAGAGCCCCTGGCAGAAGATGTCTACTTTTAAAGACACCTATAAGGGAGAACCTCATTTTTATTAAACTAAGAGCACATCTTTAGTCCTTGCTAAAATCTAGATTTCTAGTGCTTTCTAAGAAATAAAACTCTGTCATTTATTAATCAAACATTTGATGCTCACCATCAGAGATATAAATATTACCAAAGTAAAGGACCTTCTTTAAGTTGGTCACAGTTCAGGGTAGGACCTGGCCTCACAAGTGAAGTACCGTGCAACCTTGTGCCCAGGCAGCAAGTGGAGGATGGCGATTGGTGACGGGATTTCCAAAGTAGTGCACTTAAGAAAATACATATTCTCATTTTTTATCGTAGGTGTAAGCAAATGTAATGTGTCATTCTTTTTTACTTTGTTTTTATTGTCATGGCTTTATCTACTAAATTTGAAAATGATAAATGTGAAACGTAAAAGAAATTTGTATTTGGACTGTACACTTAGTTTAAATTCAAAAGTAAAGTGATGGTATTTCTTATAAATACTTAATTTTGTTGTTGTTTTCTAAATGTTTCTGGCAAGTTTTTGGGAGGTGAGGTTTTTGATTTTGGTTGTGTTTTGTTTTTGGATATTTTACAGGTTATTGAAATTCGCACTTTGGAAGCCCCTTATTTTCTACCAGAGCATATTTTCAGAGATAAGTGCATGTATGTTAATTCTTACTTTTTAAGGAAGGAGCACAGACTTGAGATACTGATTAATGATAATTTTAAAGAAGTAAACTATTGTTATAATAGTTACTGACGCTTTATACTAATCATTTTGTGTTTCTGTCATTTAATTAATTTCACTGTTTCCCTTGTTACATTATAGATATAGACTCATGCACACATAGAGTCAATCTTGAAAGAAAATTTTAAAGAAAATAAAGTTTTATCTGCTTTCAAAAAATCTGGGATATGTCTCAAAGATAGCATTTTTATGGTCCCATGTTTAAATGAACGCTGCTTTAAGAGAATACAATATCCTGTTGAAGACTTTGGTTTTTTTTTTAAGTGAGAAAGCAGGATTTATTGAGGAGACAGTAAAGCTCCCACAGTGGGAGGATACCCAAGGGGTTTGCCTGAAGACTTTCAATAACGGATAACAATATTCATTAAATTGTGGGAGAAAGAACAAATTAAGGAAAATATTACTAGTAGCCATCTTCCTTGCTCTCTCAAAAAAAAAATATATATATACATACGAATAATACTTTAGTCAAAGTATTATTTGGGACTCTAGAAGCAGTTTGTATTACAAGCATCAGCATAAGAAGCAGTTGAAAGGAAAGTAAAACCTTATATGGGTGGGCAAGCATTTCCTTACATTTAGCTGGCTAATGTAGTTTCAATAGTAATCAGTGAGCTTGTTTTAATTTCCTTCTCTTAGTTGATATTTAATTAACATGAAAATGAAAACTAAATTTAGTGCTCTTCATCACTTAATGTGCAAATATCAGCAGAGAAATATGAGGCTGAATTCACTATTGGATTGTTACAGAAGAAGAATCATGGCAAAATGGTTAATACATGGGACCACATACTATGTGTTTTTAAAGAGCTCAAATTAGTCGCCTAAAATATGCTGATTTTTTTGCATTTAACATAGGTTAAGTTGTGTTTGTTTAAAATGTTGGCTTTTGCTCTAGAATGTTTTGTATAGCCACTTCTTTTTGCTCAATAATTTAAGCAATACTGAGTGAGTTGTTTTGATCAACTTGACAGGCTTCCAAAATCTTTAGAGAAGCATGAAAAAAATCTGTACTTTCTGACCAACAAAATTGCAGAGTCATTAGGTGGAAGTGGATACAGTGTTGAGAGATTGTCAGTACCTTACGTACCACAAGTCACAGGTAAGAGGAGGGTGATTAGAACTCTGGCTCTGGTAATTGCTTAAGTTTTAGCTAATTTTTTTTTGTTACCCAATTAGCAGTGAAAATTAATTTTGTTATATATACTTAACTGGCCTTTTCCAAGTGTTTACTTCTGTTTTAAAGTTTTGCTCTTGAAAACCTTTAGTAAGTCTCCAAAGACATATATATATGATTTTACCATAAGCAAATCAGTTCCTTGAGAGTTTATTGTTATTCTATACTTAAAATGTTATTATAGCAATATTTTACCATATTTTGAACAAAGAAGCAAAATGATATCTTTTCTCATTGTCTTTGACGTGAAATTGGTGAAAACTGTTTAATGACATGTGATTATTGAAATTTGTTATGCAACATTTATCATTTGAAAGCGTATGGATGGTTTGTTGTATAAACAAACTTGTAAACTGCTAAAGTTAGGGACATTTATTCCTCTTTGAACTGTATTTCCTTCTATTCTTTTCATATCCTGAATAATTCTGTGGTGTTTGAAGGCAAAATTGCATGATGTCTTTCATTCCATTTTTACTTTAAAAACTAAAATAATTTTTGCTTATACTCTCATTTCCATTTGATGAATAAAAGTATTAAATTGGATAGGAGAATTGGTTCTTCCTCAGGGGATACCTCCGTTCTACAAGAGAAGCATTTGATTTCACTTATATAGTTTTCTGGATTAGTCACTAAAAGTAGCACAATCTTTGTAAATGATACCTTTTTACTGACATGGATCCTAAACATATACATTTATTACAGTGATGGTTCATAATAGTCTGAGATGTTAATGAATGCTTTTGCATTTTCTAGTAACTTTTTTAAAAAAGATTTTGTTCTTTAGGAATTCCTTGAGGAAATGAAAATGCTTAGCATAAAACATTAGTAGAGTTTTGTAATTTAAAAAAATTTTTAAGACATTCAAAATATTCTACTTTTATAATTTGGATTCAGCTCTCTTTCCTTCTGGCAAAAAACCTCATAAACCCAGGCACAAGCACAAAGGTAAATCCAAGTGTCAGTTTGGCCTGCCCTGTTCCTTACCTGTCCTTTAGGAAAATAGCTTAATAAAATGAGCCTTTTAGAAAACAGCCAGTGGCTTGTACATTTTGTATAGTTGCAAGTTTAGTTATTATTTTGCTTCATCTTCCTTGTAGCCATAGTTTGATTTTTCCCCTTTGTTATTTCCTTTTACCCTGTTCCTTTAACTCTTAACAATTTTTAATGAACGCTCTGGTACTTTTTTTGTTTTAAAACAGGTGAGTTGTCCTTTCCTGAGTCCTCTCATCCCTAAAAAAGATGTATTCTGTCTCATAAAGTCTCTCTAATAATTGACTAGAAGAAATCTGAATATTTTAGTATATGCTTAATTATGTAACTGCATAGAAATCCCTAAGGATGAATATGATTTTTCTGATTTATGAAGACTGATAGTTTAGAACCTGTCTGTGGCATGTGTGTCCCGCCTTACTGCAGAAACAGAAGAAAGGATCAGTGATATTTTATGGAGTAATTCGTCAGTTATTAACCCTCTGAGGGGCCATTGTAAATCTGGCAAACCCTCGATGACCTCTCTCAGGGGACATAAAGAGATTACTGGTGATTATACAGGACAGACTTATGCCAGCACAGATTTTTTTAGATGTATGTTTTCTTGAAGCTTTCCATTCAGATTACATGAAAAAGGAAATAAAGAGATGGAATATATACTGACATATACATAAAAAATATCAACTGGTGTTCTGTAGAAAGAGAATGTGTGAAGTGCTTCATAGTGATGCCAACACTTTGTAATAGAAGGTAGCTATAAAGAGTATTTGTATAAGAAAGGCAGCTGTGGGTATATTCTTTGTATCATATGGCACAACTTGAAAGATAGATAAGCAAGTTACTTTAGACTTAAAAGAAAGACCTTCAGAATCAAAGGCTGATTGTTAGAAAAATACAAGATATAAAATTTTGATTTTTTTTTGTCATGTTAAGTTCCTCAGTGTTCAGAATTACATTATAAGCAAATGTCATTACAATTAAATAATTGGTTCCAGTGCTGTACTATGTAATATGAAGTGACTCGTTTTCCACTATTTTGTAAAAAAGTGCGGTTGAGTTGCTGCTAGGTGATCTGCAAAATATCTCCACTTGCGTTCGTTTTGCTGTATAACCATTAGATATTCATTTTAAAAATTAAAGGGACTTAAGAACAATATATCAAAAGAAGCAGCAAAATATGTTTAGTTTGTTGTATATCATCATCATAATAGTATTTGCCACTTACTGTACACTAATTGTGTGTCAGGTACTGTGATAAGCACTTTGTATTTGTGTTTTTATTTAATTCTTATATTAGTTTTGTGAGGAAGATAAAATTATCTTTGTTTACAAATGAGGATAGTGAGACTGAAATTAAATAAAATTATTACATGACACCTCTATAAATAACTGCCTTTCAATTAGTTGCTACATTATTTGATTTTGCTAGCTTTTTCAGGGGCTTAAAGATTGCTCAGGCATCCAGAATGATCCAGATTGACTTTTTTATTTATTTCATAAACCTTTACTGAGTGCCTTGTATATATCAGGCACTGTTAATGACTTTTGAGGGGTAGAAAGATGTTAAGATGCAGTCCCTATCCTCAAGGAATAAAATCTCATGGGAAAGACAGATGAATGATAGAAACACAACGATAGCTAGATCTAGAGGAAGAAAGAGTCATTCGAATAATACTGGAAAAGTATCATCTTAGGAGAACTGGGCAAAGGGTCATTCAAAGCATCTTCTGTGTTTTGTTGTTCAGATTAGTTAATTTTATGACATAACTTGTGTCTAACAAGACAAATAAGCAAGCAATTGTAATATCCCTTAAAGTCTGTGATCAGGGAAGCTTAGGTTCCTCAGCATCTATGACAGTATTTGATCCAGGTTTGGCATGCCATGGATGTCTTCCAGAGGGAAAAAAAATCTCTAAGCATGAAGCAAATGTTAGGCAAGTGAACTGTGTTTATACAGAAGTAACAGCATGTGTGACAGAGTGAAGTAGGCAAGCACATGATTTGTTCGGGAAACTAATATGGTAGTTTTTGTAGTTAGTCTATCTGTATTGAGGGTAGACTTGAGGGTTTGGGACTAGCAATTGTACAGCAAGGTGAGAGAGTTTGAATTCTATTCTGAAAGCAGTGGAGAAGCATTGAATGATTTAATGAGGGGATGATGTGATCAGAGTTGTGTTTTAGAAATAGTACTCTGGTTGTAGCTTAGTAAGCTGGAGACAGAGTGACCATTTAGAATGTTCTTTAGCCAGGAAAGATGGTAGTGACTCGTACTAAACAGGCATCCATCAGAATACAGGGAAGTAGATCGTTTTTAGAAAAATTTATAAGAGAGTATCTACAGGCAGTTGATTGACATGGGGAGACAAGTAGAAACGGAGAAAGCCAGGGAAGTTGTCTGTGTTACTGGCTTGGTCGCTTGAGTGGATGGTGCAAGACTGAGAGGAAGAGCAGGGTTTACCTGCCACTTCATTTGCTTGTTTTTGGCCTTTTTTTTTTTTTTTTTTTAACGGAGGGATGGTGATATGACTGAATTCCAATGAGGAAGGAAAGAAGTATTGTATATTTCAGCTGAAACGCTCTAGTTTTGAATCTGGGATGATAGAAGGATAGAGTTTTTATTAACAGAGATGATTAGGGACGAGTGGCAAGTTTTGGAGATCTGCCTCTCACTGAATTTCCTTTACAGTGGAGCATCCAAGTGAAGTACCCAAGGGGCAGTTAGGAGTCAGGGCTGGATTAGGTGAGTGCTGAGACGTTAGAGTGAGAATTTTGAAGTAGGAAGTTGCTAACGCCTTCAGGGAAGATGACTTTTCCAAGTGAAAGCATGAAGAGAAAGAGAAGAGAATGGCTTTAGGGAATTGTCTTTTCCTTGGGGAAGGGTGTCCTGAGAAGTAGCTTAAAGCCTAAAAGCCCCAAATTGTAATTAGATGGTAAAAGGAGAATAAGGGAATGTTGCTATGTGGATGCTGAGAGGTTGGGAGGCGGGAAGGCAGGTAGAGGGAGTAGCTTCCAAAAATGGAAAGATAACTTGTCACAAATAGCTGAAGCTTCAAGGAGTTTGAAAATTGACTAAGGACTTTTTTTGGATTTTCCTGGAAGGTGATTATTGATGGCCTTTGAGGCAGCAGTTTTGATAGCAAGCTGAAACAGAATAGCAGCCTATGTATACAGACTTTCATTGTTGCTGTTTGTTCTCTTTTTGATGGTGTTTTTGGGACTGAGTGCTGGCTCTAATACAGCTCAATATTTGAAACACTTGCTAACAAAGCACAGAGAGCATGACTGTGTTTGTGTGTCTGCTGCTTGTTAGACTGAATTCACAACTCACATGTTAGTACAAATAGGCAAAAGTTTACATACAAATAAAGATCCAGCCATTTACATACCTTTAAACTAACCATTTGGTGTCATTGAAAACCAGTTGCAGTAGTGAAGCAGTATACTTTGAAAGATGTCGCTACAATAAATTAAAAAATTAGCCAGGCATGGTGGTGCACGCCTGTAGTTCCAGCTACTTGGAAGATTGAGGCAGAAGAATCATCTGAGCCCACGGGTGGAGGCTGTGGTGACCATGAGTGTGCCATTGTACTCCAGCCTCGGTGACAGAGTGAGACTCCAACTCAAAAAAAAGAAAGAGGACTGACAGTAGTTGATTTTCCTCTGAGTCAGGAAATGCTAATTTTCACCTAAGTTGGCTTGGAGTCAGAAATTTATTGTACTCTTGACTCTGTCCCAGCTGTGTGACCTTGGGCATGCCTCTTAATTTCTCAGTGACCCTTTGTGTTCACATGGAAAGCAAAGGCCATAGCCCCTGAACCACTTGGTTCAAAAAACTCTGTATGAATATAAGAATGATATTTATTTCAGTGTCTTCATCTGCAGATTGGCTTTTTGAATTGTGTGATTTATCCAGTTGATTAAAAGTACTCGTTTGCTTTAATCCATTTTGTCAAAACCTGCATTGTTTTCCAAATGATTCCTGCTTATGAAAATAAGAGGGTAGGACCTTGAACATTTATAATACTATAAGAAAATGATTGGCAGTAGCAGGAAACTGTCAGGGCAGAGGGGGTGGGATTGGCAGTTGAGGGAAACTACTAGGGGAGGGAGGGGCATACCTCATCAACAAGGGTACCTGCATATCAACGTTTGTATACTTAACCCTGAATTGTACCCCACGTCTTTATAATTTAAAAAAAAAGAAAAGGGGGTATTGGTAGAGGTTTTGTTTTAAATTTTGTTTTAAAAAAATAAAGACTGTCTTTGTATTGCTCTAATGTTTTTATCCCATAGTGAAGTTAGTTTTGGTTTTACTTCAGTCTATAATATGCATTAGCTCTAGGTATAGTTTTGGCTTTTTCTGTAGGACCCAAAAAGGATATTTATATGAGCAGTATCCACATTATACTACAACATTTTGATTTTGTGCATAGGTAACTTACCTTGAAGTTTCCCTGTGTCCCAGTTACTTTTTTAACTGAATCTGGCCCCAGTTAAATTTAACTTGAGGAAGAGGTGCAAGGCTCTCCCCGGGGGTGCATCTGAGCCATCTGAGATGATGTCATGGCAGTTCGCTAGAGCCACCAGGATAGTGCAGCCCACAGAGGGAAGACAGGTCAGGAACACACCTAGGTGGCCCATAGGAACAGGATATTGTCTTCATAAGCTCTTCTTTAGAAACCTCCCTTGAATATAGATGTGCAAGGTGTCTGACAATAGTTATATCTGGGATTTCTTGCAGTTCCCAATAAGCAAGTGGCTATGGTGGTTGGAAGACACAAAAGTTCTGAGAATGTCGTGGTAGAGTTTCCCATTGAATTTTGCTTTATTTCCTTTAAGAATTTCTAATCATTTTTAAAAATCTCCTTCCACTCTGTTTCTGTTTTCAGTGATTTTTGCCACTCAGTGATCCCTCTTCTGCCCCCCACATCCCCTCTTCTTTTTTCTTTTTATCTTCAGCTTCAGGTTGACTCTTTTTCTGCAGCCCATCTGCCTTCATACATTAACCCAGAAGTTCTTTTATAGGGTCCTTTTTGGAAAGCAGGCTATTATTTATTCCTCATTTTGTGTTCTGGTGAGACCTTGAAAGTGAACCTGCTTAGATGCTTAAAAACAGGTCAGCTGGGAGGAGCACAGACTACCCTGTAGTGGTTCATTAATGTCTCTGCGTTGGGCAGTTTATATCAGAGTGTATAATCATGAAGGAAAAACAGAAACAAATACAGGGCCTAGATTAACTCAGCAATAGCCACATGCAGGCTATAGGATGTTCTCAACCTGAATATTACAGCAGGTCATGTGTTGCCGTGGTTGAGTATGTTTGGTTCTGTGCCTCCAGTCTTTGTGCTGTGGAACCTTAGTGACTCCTTAATGGTAGATGCACAACCCAGAGTCTGTCACTGAATTTCTTGTGGGTTGGGTAGATAAGACATCAATTTAACATGACTGTAGTACAAGACTCAGTAAGTGATTGCAGGATGATGTACGTTAAGTCACAACTCATAATAAATTTTTATAGCCCAGAAGAAAAAGGGACAAGTAGAAATAATTAGAATGATATTTAGCACTTTAAGGAAGTGACCTGATGCTCAACTAGGCCTTGAAAGGTGAGACTTTATAGGAGGAGGGAGGACGGTAAGGACGAGCAGAGGTCCCACAGCATGCCTAGAAACTAGATATAGGCATCTTTGACTTGAACACTAGATTAATTAGGAGTGGTGGAAGTCACTGTTGGTAAGATTTGATTAGAGAGTCCAGAGTGCCTTTTTAACTCACAAGCAGTAGGGGAGCATTGCTTGGGGAGTTACGTGGTTAGTGTTTTATAAAGCTTACTTAACGTGATGGTGATGTACAGGGAAAATTATAGAAAGGTTTATCATCAACCAGGTTGAACTGAGTCAGAGGTTCTCAACTGAAGGTGATTTCGCCCATCCCAGGAAATGTTTGTCCATCCTGGAGACATTTTTGGTTGTGACAGCTGGGTCAGGGACAGATGGGATAGGCCTATTGGCATTTAGTAGGTAAAGCTAGGAATGCTGCTCAACATCTGGCATTGCAAGGTATAGCTTCCCACAGCAAAGATTACCTGGCCCCACATGTCCATGGTGGCGTAGTTAAGAAACTCTAGATAGTTTATGCTGTGGTAACAACACCAAGTTCTTAGTGGTTTGAAACAGTGAAGATTTATTTATTGCTCAGATTGTGTATAACCTCACTTCATCCATATTCTGGAATCCACACTTGACTAACAGCATGAATTACTTCTGTGGAGTCCTGCTGTAGAGTGGAGGCATAGTCAGTAGGCAGCAAGCCAGTTTTTTGCTGATTGCTTTTGATTCCGCTTTCTTTACCTCTTCAGTAAAATAAAAACACAGTATTCACAAAATGGGATCAGAAAGATGGAGTGTTACAGATGATGAAGTAACTCTGTGCTGCTGGGCTAAGCTTCTTGACCTGAGCTTCCCTGCTATTTGGGGGACCATTACAGGAGTGTCTGGGTATTGCTTTCCTTAGCTCTTCAGGCACCTGGTCAGGGCCTGAGGCAGTCTGATCCTGCATTGCGAACAGCTGCTTCCATTTATTTCTGTGTGCCATACGTATTTTATTATCTTATATGTGCAGTGATATGGAAAACCATGGGAAGCTCTGCATTATCAGTGGATTGCATTTGTTTAAAATTATAATTAAGGCTAAAATTATTTATTTTAGAACTCTACTGGCAGTATAGAAGGGGGAAACGTACTAGGAAGACCAGTTTGAAAGCTGTCCTAAGACTTTAGGTAAGGAAATATGAAGATTTTTAATGGTGGCACTCTTGGAAGTAAATAGTGCAATGAAGAGATAAAGATGGTTTATTAGAGATATTGGCATTGAATTCAGAGCATGTCAAATAGAATTGATGAATAGAAAGTTGGAAGTGTTGAACTGGAGCTCTGAAGAGCAAATGAGGTGCTGGAGTCCTGCTCGTCAGTGACACATCTGTTTCTAGAGTGCCTTCCAGGTGCCAGGTGCAGCCCTGATAGGACTTGGGAACTCTTTAGGAGTTGGAGGATTAGGGCTGTGACCTGGGTAAGAACATTGCTTTTTAGAAATGACAGTAGAACAGGAGCCAACTTGATGTCATTGTCACGTCTCCTAAATTCTCTTCTGCATCACAGAGAAAAAATTGGGAACTGTGTTTTCCATAATCCTCTTCCCTGTATGGTTCTGAGTTGGAGACTAACACTAAAAAGCAGTCACTTAAAATTTTGAAAGTAGAACAGGATAAACTATTCTCATTCAAAGACAGACATCCAAATTGGCAGGCAGCAGACTTGAAGCTTATAGGAGCTTCTTGAAAATGACCCATTTCCAAATTGCAAGTTGAGATGTTGAGTGACACAAGTAACTTTTACTCACTCAGGTCTTTAAGGGTTGAATAAGCCTCTAATTCTTTCTTTTGGAATACACAAAGTAGCTTTCTTTATTTGGATGTAACCATGATTATTAGATGTCCTCCTAACACCCTGTACTTTTCCATCCCACTTTATTATTTGTGTAATTTTGTTTATTTTGTATATTTCTTATTAGACTGAAAGCTCTATGAAGGTATGTACTGTGTATTCAGCAGACTGTCCCTAAAACACACATGGTCTTTAATAATTTCCTAGATCTGTTGAATATTGAATGCTAAAGTAGAAATGAATGTGTGGAAGGGCATTTTAACCAACAAATTCAAATTTTAATGAAGTGGTTAAGCAGAAAATGGGCTAGAATAGCTATTAAATTTAGTGATTTGGAAGACAGTGGAGTTTTATGAGAAAGCACTGTCAGAAGAGTGATTGGGGAGAAGATTATAATTGCAGGGCTTCAGAAGAGTTAATAATAAACAGAGCAATCGGTTGAGACTATGTAGATGAGTCTGCAAAAGGAGGGCAGAAAAGTAGTTTCATTTGGAGCATTGAGGTGAAAAGAATATTTTTCCAAACAGGTGGGCAAATTATAAAACAAAAGAGCAAAGCTGTTGGAGATGAGAGACTGGACAGATGGTGGGGAAGGAAATATTGAGGCAGCAAATTCTTTCAATCCACAAATAGTAACGCATGGTAGACACTTTCAGACCAACTTTCAGACCAGACTACCATTCTAGAACCACAGTTATTGGACAGCTTTCACTGTTACATGGAAACTTTAGAGATAGAAGGGTGACATTGTGAGATTTAAGTTGGGCTGAATGTATTCAACTTAAGTTATGTCCTTCCTCCTCTTGGTATTACGTTGACTTTTTGTTTTTAATAAAACTATTAGGTAATGGCTATTGATGTTGCTATTCTAAATGCCCCCTTTTTGAAAAATAAAAAACTGATAACTTTGTTTCAGTTCACCCATCAATTTTATTTTTTAATCTGCTCCACAAAATGTAAGTCTAAGAGCACACACTTTATATATTTAGAAAGAACAAAAGAGACAAACTGTCTTAATTTTCTGAACTTTTTTGAAATCTGAAATAAGTGGAGTTTTTAAATGAAAAGTACCATAATATTTCTAACAAAATAATGGGGAGAAACAATTTTCATTTTAGATGAAGATCGACTTTCTAGAAGAAAAAGTATTGTGGACACTGTCTCCATTCAGGTGGATATTTTATCCAACAGCATTCCCTCTGATGATGTGGTAAGTTGCTGAAAGTTTGAAATAAATATCAATTAAAATAATTTTCTTGCCTTCCACACTTGTAAGCAGAAGTTGCAATTCTAAATTATCCTAAAATCAGCTGAATTGTTAGTAGAAATTAACCTGATTTAGCCTTGAATTTATTTATAATTTATTTTAGTGAACTCATTTCAGCTATCTATATGGATACATAAACAACATTATATGTTATGATATTGTCAAATTTCACAATGTAATTCAGTGTAATAAAAGAATCTGTAAAACATTACTAAGAGTTTTTTGGTAAGTAAGAAATGTTATACAAGGCCTGTCATTAAATTAATAGGCCCTCTAAATTCTGTTTTTTTAAATGTATGAAATATAAATTACAGGAATAAATGGAATTAACACTCTCATGTGAAGCCAAATGCTCATTAACTTTAAAAAGTTTCAAAACTTCACCTATTAGGGGAAATTGTTATCATGTTCAATAATAAATGTAATACATGGGGTGTAACTTAAACTCTGTCAGTGAACTATGTACTCTTTTAGGACTGTAACTTATTTGAAACATCATAGATTTAATGCTCTCCTCCTATTTCAATAGAGCACAAAAGTGTACCCACCTGAGTTATAGGAAGAAAGAGCAGCCAGCCAGTATTCTCTAGGACTTATTCCACACAAACCTCCAGAGAATTTTTTGATAGTCAAGTAAAAATCCAGATATGCCATCAAGTCAAGTCAATCTCCAGCTTGTGGTTTATCCCTTGTTTGCCTTCCTAGGTATTTTATTATTTCTCATTGGTACAATGTACATAATTAAAATAATATTCATATAAGAAAAGGGATATGACGTTGTCTGAATTTATGCTTTCTCAGCCTCCTTTCTCCTCCCTACTTTCAATTCCTATCAGCTAATTTGTCTTCAGGTATTAAAACTATTTAGTGGACGGGTACAACCAACTGACTTATATTTTCACTTCTCCATTATGTAGAATTAATCACTTTTATTAAAAAATTATTAGCAGAGTATCAAGAGTAGGTGATGAGGCAGTTATTGTGTGTTCATTTTGAAACTTAGGGCATTAAGGCTGGTTTAAAGTTTCTTAACCAATTTAAGGCTTAATAAAAATCATCTTTCCTAAATTTACCTCCTTCAAAACCATTTTAATTTACGAGACACTCCTTACTCATAAGAAGATTATCCTGTTCTTTTAATGATTATGAATTTACTACTCTTACCTTTTTAGGAAAGGCATTCATTCAAAGCCTCAGTTTATAGGCTTAATTTTTTCAAGAGTACAATATATTTTTTCATTCTTGTTTTGTTAACTATTTGTATTTCTTTCAAACATATATATAGTTAAAGCTATTGCAAATAATCAGTCTATTTTGATGAAATGAACTGAAAAAACATTTGCATAAAGACCTAATGTTAGGAAAAGAGTCTTGATACAAATTAATGTTTAATAATATTATGCCTAGCCGGGCTCGGTGGCTCAGCCTGTAATCCCATGCCTTTGGGAGGCTGAGGTGAGTGGATTGCCTGAGCCCGCGGGTTCGAGACCTACGTGGGCAGGCGAGACCTCATCTCTACAATAAATCAAAAAATTAGCCGGGCGTGGTAGCCTGTAATTCTGGCTACTTGGAAGGCTGAGGCGGAAGGATCGCCAGAGCCCAGCAGGTCCAGGCTGCGGTGGCCGGGAAAGGCCACTGCACTCCAGTCTGGGTGACAGAGTGAGAGTCTGACTCAAAAAAATAAAAAATAAAATTATTATGCCTATAATCCCAGTGCTTTGGGAGGCCAAGGTGGGAGGTTCACTTAAGGCCAAGATTTGAGACCAGTGTGGACAACATAGGGAGACACCCATCTCTGTAAAAAATGAAAAAATTAGCTGGGTATGGTGACGTGCACCTGTAGTCCCAGCTGCTGAAAAGGCCAAGACAGGAGGATTGCTTGAGTACAAGAGTTCAAGTTTATAGTGAGCTATGTACGTGCCACTGCACTACCGCCTAGGCAACACAGCAAGACCTTGTCCCCAAAAAGGTAATTTTTAAAAAGGTCCAATAATATATTTGTTAACTTTTAAAAGACTATTTTATTTTTTGTTTACGATAAGTTCTAAGTTAAATATGCATCACGCTGAGCATCTGAAAAGTTAAGTACAGTTTGGTATCATATTTACTTGAGCACGTTTGAGTTTCAAACTCATTTACCTTTGTGGAATCTGCTTTTGTATATTAGAAATGTTTTTTCAAATACCAGAATAACATTACCTTCCAGGCTAAAACTAATTAATCAATTTCATGTAATTTCATGCTGTGCTATGAAAGTGCTTGATTATTTTGGGACATGGATGAGATATTATATATATTAAATTTGAATACATATTAAATTTTTCTTTGTGCAAAATTAAATCACTGCTTGGTTGCAAAAGACTGTTGTTTATTCTAGAACTAGTAACAGATCTTTGATGCATATGTCCTCCTGCTTTTTCTCAAATACAACTGGAGAAACCTGTATGCATGCTAGCATCCTGTCAGTGTTAGCCATTCTCTGCTGTGCTAGATGCTGTTAGATTTTTGTGGGATTAGTGGAAGTGATGTAACAACTACTCTCATTCGAAAAATGATTAGCAGATTTTTTGCAGGCCCAAGGTCTTATGTAGTCTAGATTAGAGTTGTAGATCATTCAAAAGTCACAAATTGTAAAAGGAATTTTGAAACTCTTTAGAATGGTGCCTTTGCACCATTTTTCTATATCGCCAGCATAACGTTTTTCCTCTGGAGTTGGAACAGATTGTAGTTTGGTAGAGCACCAAGTAAAGTAGGCGACTTGTATGTAGCAGCTATATTATATTAAAATATGAATCATTAAATGCTAGTATAAAGCATTTGGTCTTTTAAAAAACAAGGCTCACAAGGGAAGAGTGGGAGATAAGATTGGAACCAAATTACAGGTTTTATCACCAGACTGAGGGCTTTGTATATCATTTGGTAGGAAGTTGGGAAACACTGGCATTCAGTCAGTGTCATTGTCAGAGCTTTGCTTTCATATGGAGAGTCTCAGGCAGTGTCATCCACAGAGCTATGCTTTCATATGGGGAGTCTCCCAAGTGTGATGAGGCTAAACGGGAAGAAAGAGCTTGGAGGAGGTGGAGGGCAGCTAGGGGATCCTCAGATAGTCCATGCTTGATGGAATGAGGAGCTAAACTGGAGTAGCCAGCTGGAGGAGAGGAAGAGGCATGGGAGGCAGAAATACTATTCTACAGTAGAATAAATAGGACCAACAGAGGACATCAAGAGATTTAGAGAAAAGAGTTAAAGTGGAGACAGACAGAAGGACTAGGTGGAGGTTCTTGATGCTAGGGAACTGCATCATAATTATCTCAACTAAGGAAAACAACAAATAGAAGCATTGGCAGGGCAAGGTACTTGAGTTTTTTACTTATCTGAGATTGAACAGGTAATGAATAAAATGTACATGAAGTAAGAATGCAGGCTTTCTAACTCCTCCTATGTTCCTTTTTCTGTACTGTAGTTGTTTCTTAAAAGTCTGAAGTTCTTAGCCAATTGGAAGAGCAACAGCAAATTCTTTGTTTCATTGGAGTACTAGATTGTTTCTAGGTACAAATAATTGACCAGCCAGAACTTAATCTTACATATCTACTTCAAATATCTAGAGAAAAGCAACTGAGGATTCCCAAATTTAATCTGACTACAACTAGAAATCTGAACACGCAATAGAAAAACAGAGATAGTGGAATTCTTGCTACTTAATTTCCAGCTAAAGCCTTTGTATTACAGAGATGCTAAGTTGCAAAGCATGAAGTCTTTTGCTTTTGTTAGTGTTGCTGCCCTAGGCTTAGCAAAGAAGCTCATGAGCTAAAATTAGGAATGACCAGAGTCCCAGGCAAGTACTCATGTATCATTTCTTAATTTAAATTAAGAGATACTATAGTTAGTGGGCATATTATTTCTTTTAAAAATGTGCTGATGCCACAACAAGTATGATTGACTTATTATAAAGCATGATTGACTTATTATAAAGCAGTTGATTTCATACCATTTACGTATGTCAAACAAAAGAAAGATTTGAGATTTCCTAGTTAAAAGGTATGGGGGGAGTTGGTGGTTGATTTTAGAGGATCCAGAATGTACTTATTTTAAGATGTTGGTTAACTGTGCTCATTGAACACATTCCAAGGTAGTGATGCTTCCTTTTAAATCATTTAAAAATCTTAACTTATTTTATTTCTGATTTGTAAACCCTATGTAGTAACACTATTATAGAGGCAGTAGAGAACCTAGTTCTTATTTCTCATGGGGCTAAAAGTATTTACTTGTCAGCTCTGACTATCTCGAAGCATTGTTTACTTAGGAAGCATGGTTCAGTCAGAGGGACTCAAACCTATTGAAGGCTGAGTTTCATAATTCAAGGGTGGTTTGGTTGCCTAGAGGATGCTAACTCTGCCAGTCTATGACCTACTGCCAGTCTGTGACCTACTGCAGTAGACCATTGTTAGAACTAATGAAAAAGTGGAAATTATTTGATACTGTGGAGTATGATCACAACTCAAACCAATACAAAGAAAATAAATTTGTGAAACATCTTAGTTGACTTGTCATTAGGTGAAGGTATTATTTATATTGACTTTTTTTAACTCATTATTTTTTTAAAAATCACTTCTCTAGGTTAGTAACACTGAAGAAATCACCTTTGAAGCACTGAAGAAAGCTATTGGTGAGATACATTGTACTTGTTAGCACTCCTAATATCTAACTCATCTGTGTTTTGTTGCTCTTTTACATGCCAGAATAAGGAGAGGCAGCATGGCAAAAACAAAACTGAAATAACTTATTGGTTTCTATATAAATATAGAATATATTCAGGTACATTCTTTAGGCTTTTAAAATTGTCTCATCATACTCATAATCTTAAAACAGATAAAGTTATTATATCACTGGTATAAAAATGACAGACATTAATTTACTGTCTCACAAACTTTGCAAGACCATATATTATCTTTTTGTTTGTTTGTTTAATTGTCAGATGAATTCTTGCTATGTTGCCCAGGCTGGTCTTGAACCCCTGGTCTCAGGCATTCCTCTCGCCTCCCCTTCCCAAAGTGCTGGGATTACAAGAGTGAGCCGCCACGCTTGGCCTCATACATTATCTTAAGATAAAGAAATCTTAGCCAGGCTCGGTGGCTCAGCCTGTAATCCCGTGCCTTTGGGAGGCTGAGGTGAGTGGATTGTCTGAGACCACAGGTTCGAAACTTGCCTGGGCAACTTGGTGAGACCTCATCTCTACAATAAATCAAAAATTAGCCCAGCATGGTAGCGCACGCCTGTAGTTCCAGCTACTTGGAAGGCTGAGGCGGGAGGATCGCCAGAGCCCAGCAGGTCAAGGCTGCGGTGGCCTAGAGCGGCCACTGCACTCCAGGCAGGTTGACAGAGTGAGACTCCTACTCAAAAAAAAAAAAGAAAGAAATCTCCTTCCAAATTGTGTAAGGTTGAGACAACATGGTTCCAAATGACCCCATCTGTATTTCAATTATTCCACTCAAGAGTCAGTTTACAAACATTATTTAGTACCTTGTGTGCAAGGACATAATTTAAAATAAAAGAATCTTTCTTTAGGATGGACCTTGAAGTAGTTTAACTTGAAAGAGTTTATCATTCTTCTGTCTGTTTTTGGTAAGAGAGGCAAAGGTTATCTATGAAAGAGGGCCTTGTGCTGTGTAATTTTAACCCTTGGACTTTTTTTTTTTTAGTGTGCATACTTTCTAGCCTTAAAAAAGACATTTTAAGAATGTTATGCCTTTTTTTGTTTTGCTTATAAAAGTAGCCCTGTAAAATACCCTTGTTTTTGGTTGATAGATCACTAGCTTTTTTGGTCACTGGCAGGGTTCTATGAAATTTTGTATTCCTTTTTATAAGTTTTTATAAACATTTATATAGATACCAGTGGAATGGAAGAACAGGAAAAGGAAAAGAGGCGTCTTGTAATAGAGAAATTTCAGAAAGCACCTTTTGAAGAAATAGCAGCACAGTGTGAATCCAAAGTAAGTGAACAGATAGTGAAATAAGTGGGAGGACGTGGAGGGTGGTTTTGTGGAAACTCTTTCTTGGTAATCTATTGGTAAGTTCCAAGCTTTAGGCAAGTCAGCAGAACATAAAGAAATGTATCACACAGGGACCAAAAACTCTGAAGGTATAGCTGTGAAGCAGAAATAATTTATTTGTGTGATGTAAGCTGATGGAAATGGCAGATTCCAAACTAATTTTGAATAACTATTATTACTTTAATACTTTTCTTTGCAGTGGCTTTCAGTGATTTTGCTGTAGATATTTTTTTGTGTATTTGTCAGTTCATTTTTAGAACTGAGACTAGGAAAGGAAAAGAAGAAAAGCCTTACGTTAAATTCCAATAGATGAGACAGATCAAAACATCCAAGCATGCTGACTTGACAGCACATTTACTGCATAGTTAAAGTTATGCTTTGTCCTTCACATTACATTTTTATTGTCACATATGGGCATTTAGAAAATAATGCTTTTTTAACGTTTGATTTTTTTTTTTCTTTTTTGCAGGCAAATTTGCTTCATGATAGACTTGCTCAAATATTGGAACTCACCATACGGTAAGTTACAACAACAGCATTAACACAGCAAAAACAAAATAGAAATGACTAGATCCCTATAAATCTGTGACTGGTTACATTTAAGTAATTGTGCTTTTCATGTAGGATAAACACAAGACTATATAGGTGACCCTTCAGCTTAGTGGTCATTCTGTTTACTAAGTGATGCCTGATATTATTTCTTGTCCAGTTGTCTTCTAGCTTTTTTAGATTATTCCTTCCTTCCTCGTGGTCTTAAAAGAACATCAAGCCGGGCTC